AGACCCAGGGACTCCTGAGTCCAGAGGAAGTGACATGGCCACAGAGGACTATAGTGGTGAGTGAAGCATCCAGTTGATTTGAAGTGAGGAGAGATACACAAGAACACCCATACTTGCAGATAGTACCCACTTGACCTAGCTTCGATGGCTAGATGATCAGAACTCAACTAGAAGAAGAAAGAAGAGGGGGGAAAAAAAAGAGTAACTTGCTACAATTTGATGAACTTTACCTATACTTATGGATGTAGTAGCTGAAAAAAGGGAACAGCTGCTGCAACAGGACAAGGGGATACTCAAGAAAGGTATGCACTAAGGTCATATTCATTCACCATACTATTCAGTCTGTATGCTGAGCAAATAATCAGAGAAACTGGATTATATGAAGAATAAAGTGACATCAGGATTGGAGGAAGATTCATTAACAACCTGCAATATGCAGATGAACAACCTTGCTTGCTGAAAGCGAAGAGGACTTAAAATACTTACTGTATGGATTGCACTTCAGTGTAAAGAAAACAAAACTCATCACAATTAGACCAATAAATAGCATCATGATAAATGGAGAAAAGATAGAAAGTGTCAAAGACTTCATTTTGCATGGATCCATTATCAACACTCATGGAAGCATTAGTCAAAAACTTAAACAACATATTGCATTAGAAAATCTGCTGCACAAGACTTCTTTAAAGTGTTTGAGAGCAAATACGTCAGTCTGAGGACTAAGGTATGCCTGACCCAAGCCATGATATTTCCAGGTGCCACATGTGAAAGCTGGAAAATGAATAAGGAAGATTAGGAACGATTGATGCATTTAAATTATAGTGTTGGAGAAGAATACTGAGAGACCATGTACTGCCAGTAAAACAAGCAAATCTGTTTTGGAAGAAGAGCAGCTAGAATACTTCTCCGATGTGAGGATGACAAGACTTCATCTCTCCTATTTTGGACATGCTGTCAGGAAGGAACAGTGTGTAGAGATGGACATCACATTTGGTAAAGTGGAGGATCAACAACAAAAAAATGAAGATCCTCAAATATATGAATGTCACAGTGGCAGTAACAATGGACTCGAACATAATAATAGTTGTGAGGATAGTGCAGGAACATGCATTGTCATGCGATCACTGTGATTTGGAACTGACTTGAGGGCAACAACAATAGTGGAAATGCCCAAATATTAATTTTTCAGATTTTAGGCAAGGAAAAGTAAAGTGAAGTTTTCACCATCATGATAGCTAGACCATTAATATCTTTCCATGGAAGACAATAATTTCCTTATGGCAGAAGTAAATTTCTTGATAAAGCATTAGATACCAAACAAAACATGATTTCCAAGTTCTGTGAATGACTGAAAATATGAAACTTTTTTTAGGTATAGTCAATATTTTAATATCTTCCTCCGAACTTCCAAAAGAGGTTTTCTTGAAGACAATAGACATCAATCATATTTTTTCTCTGACACATATAGTGGGAGTACATGTTAGGATATGTCTCATATATGACTTCCATCTGGATTGCAAAAATTCTGTTTCTTTCAAGAAATTGCAGGGGTTCAAATGAGTGAAAATAATGACTACAATATCAAAGAATCCTTCAAAGTTAAATTGTTACAATTACTTGAAAACATTAAAAGTACTGTTGTTGTTGTTAGGTGCCATTGAGTTGCTACTGACTCATAGTGATCCTATGCACAGCAGAACAAAAACACTGCCCAATCCTGGGCCAACCTCACAATTGTTGCCACGATTGAGTCCACTGATGCTGCCACTTTGCCAAT